CAGCACCGTGCTTCCAAATCTGGGTGTGAACGTAGTTAGGGTGGCATGTTTCATCGTTAAAGGCAAGGATTCACCCACAGCAACGGACACTGACTCTAAAATGTCGCCAATAGTACAATGGAATATACTATATTGTATTGAACTTAAACATCATATATAGCACTAACCCCCGCCCATCCAGAGTTGCTCGTTGCTAACCCCTAATCCAACTGTTTCATAACATTAGCCGCGTTATCACTCAGTGAAAGAATTGAGGTTTTAGAGACCCGGATGAGAGCAGCATATGAGGGCGTCTGTTATGTAATTACCCACTGTGTGGTTATCTTCAGACGGGTCACAACACACGCCGCAGTCAGACGCTATAAAGCCCGGGTTACGATGACGGTGTAGTGTACGCACTCCGACACCCGTAATAGAAAACAAGAGCGGTGCACTGTGGATAAACTAACTGCCTATTATACAACCCCAAAATGAAGCGCTGGTCGTTCTTCTGCGTTTGTGGACTTCTTTGTATATATTTTAGCCCAACTGCTGGTCAGTTTGCCAACGAACACGAGAGGAGATGGCCCGTAAACTCGGTGAGTAGGATTATTGTGTTTTACTAAAAGGCGTAACTGTCCCCGCCTACTCGTCCATTTTAAGATCGACAGACTGGTTTCAAAATAAAGTTTCGGACCCCCAGTTCGCCGCGGATAGAGGAAAACTATTTCTAATTATACGCAGTGTGATATTCATTATGCTACCGTAGATAAATACGGTAATGCCATCGGCGAAACTCGATCTAACCGTGAGAAGTTTAAACCACCGCAACGTTTCAGATATTTGCGAAACCAGGAATTTAAACGTTTGAGAGTTTCTGTCAACATCGTAAATAATGTCGTGAATATAGGCTTGAAAGTGGACCTCACGGCGATGAATCGTCGGTGATTGTGATACTCCCTTCACTGTGGCAGGTAGCGATGACGTTCAAGTCGCGGACCGGTATTCAGATTACGTTTATATCGTGCACAGACGATTCATTTACGTGTACGCATCCGCCGCGCTAACAGTAAATAACGCCAAGTACCGGTATATATGATGCGACCCCACCAGGGTTACTCCCATCAAATACTGAGTAAATAAATCAATTATAGGTATACCAAATAAAATGTATAAATAAAATATTAGACGCAAGTGATAGAAATGAAAACGAGTTGAAATGGTACGCACAGCGAAGTCACTTTCATCACGATGATTTTAATTTCGTGATTTGTCAACGACTCACATCTATTATGATGTATGTGATTGGTCTGGCGCGGCGACCAGTCATCTGCTGGGGACAACGTTAATGACTTGCTGTTGAGAAGACCTTGCTACTGTTTGACCCCGAACTGCTGACGTTTGTACGTAGGGATGTTATTAATCAGCCCATTCCCATGGTGTACCTTACTCCAATGACACTTTCGCAAGACATTAAATGATTCTGGCATCGCTGACAATTGTTTTAGCTCGCCGTGTGTGACGTCGACACATGGCCCATGGGTCCAATTAATTCCTGCCAGCATCCGATTTGAACACTTAACTAAAATCTATTTTAAATTGCTTTTCCAGTTGTTTGAAAGTTATTTATTTATTACCGGTAAGTGTCGTCGGCCGTTACATTATAAATATTGTGATGGCTTTTGGTGAGGTTCTGTCAAGTTCAACGTTTATTACGTCCACATTTCTGTACTTCTCGTTTGACGACCATCGGCAGGTCACGACACCCCGTGTATCATGCCGATGTACTGATTGGACACCCAGTCAGTCAACGAATATGAATGTAAATATACAACATATACAATGTACAAAAAATAGTATTTGCATACTAGTATATTACTTTGGTGAAAATAAACACAAATGAATCGTACCAGTGGGGATAACACCACTGACGTTTAAACTGTGAACAAATTTGGTAATACTTCCCAAACCGATCACGGCCACAACTTTTTCTGTAGCTGCTTGTACGTACTACTTAGGATAAGATAGGATAGGATAGGATAGGATAGGATAGGATAGGATAGGATAGGATAGGATAGGATAGGGATAGGATAGGGATAGGATAGGGATAGGATAGGATAGGATAGGATAGGATAGGATAGGAATAAGATAGGGATAGGATAGGATAGGATAGGATAGGATAGGACAGGACATCCCGGCTCTCGAGCAAATTCAATTGTTACTGCTTCATACTTCAAACAACGTGCAGTTAAATAAGGGTTATGTAACATTCGGCTACCTGTTATTTAAGGAAGTCCAAACTAACTTACTAACTAACTAAGACAAGTACATCGTTTTGCAAATCAAAGAAATGTACAAGCGATGTAAATTGCCACAGCTGCCCTGGGCGCGACACCGGTCCCGCCTTACATTCATCCCAAGAAAACTGTTTACCTCAAACTCTGTCAATACGTAATTACTTAATTTAGCTGTCCATTATCATGGATTGGCATTTGTGAAGAATAACTGGGTCTGGTATTTATTTTTACTTCTTTAAAGAAATGGCATCGGAAGCAATTGACACACATTTTGACCCTTTTCAGTTCGTGCTAATCAGCTTTTAGCACGAACTCTCAATTCTTTACTCGGTTTCATCACCACAAAAGATCGTCTTTCCCTGACTGAACGTACTCTTGTCAAGTACCCTGTTTATTTCCGATTGGTAGTGCAGCGTGAAGTGACGAAACCGGGTTGACCTGGCACTCCATGCAAACAAGCCCATCATTACCACCACCAGACAAAACACACGTGTGTTGTTTAGAGGAATGGCTTCGACTCCACGCTTTAACTTGGCGTAAAATACGGGTTATTTCTGTTCTGCTATATAAGTGTGTTTACTCTGACAACTGTGAACGTAAACGTCTTTGTAACATCGTTATATATCTGCTGATATTCAATCTGACACGTTAGGAGATAAATTATCACTCAAATTAGGTAGCAGTGAAAATAAACAAGTACTTAGAAAACACTATTTCATGGGATTATCGGGGAATTCGACACCTATTAAATGCTTTTGGATGAGACTGAAAGCTTCTGGGTTTGACTAATGGATAAGACTCCATATGCGACTTTTCATTGAAAATATTTGTTATATAGTGTTACATTTCTCGTCGGTATTCTTCAAGATTCGAACGGGAAAATAACGCTGTATTGGTTATATTCGTCGTCATACAGGTCCAGGCGAAGCTAGGCGTATGCTTGAACTTGCACTTTCAATATAATAGAAGTGTCATTGCTCCCCTAGAGAAGAGATTTCTCCCTATTATTTCATCGTCATATGCGAGGCAGGGAAAACGCGTCATTTTTGGCCGGGCTGTCTCATCGAGAGAAGGATGTTCTCCCTTTACATGCAATGGAAAGCATCGTTTTGGATGAGGTTGTTTCACTCAGAGAATGGGTACTTCCGATCCGGCTCCTGGTTGTATTATCGTTACTTGAGCAGAAAGGGGATCATTTTGAGCAGGGCTGTCCCACCTAGAGCACAGCTCTTCTCGATTATGTTATCTTTGCACGCAAGTAAATGTCAGCATTTCAGACTGGGCTGTCTCATCTAGAGAAGGGTTGCCTTCCGAATTACTAGTAGTTATCGTTTCATGCGACGAAAGAACATGATTTCGGACTGGGCTGTCTCACTTAGAGAAGGAGCCGCCCGGTTATGTTATCGTCACATGCAGGAAATGACATCGTTTTTTTACCAATGCTGGTTTCACGATTTTGGTGTATTTGAAGGAAAACACAGACCCGCATAATACTATTCTGACTCATAATTACATTTGTGAATTCTTTTGCCTCTTTGCAAAATTCTTTTGAATGCTGCCATTCAACGCTTAGAGTAACAAACTAACACTTCGCTATGTTCCTTTAGAACAATAATTCAACCAAATTTGTAGCAGTGTTTTTCATTCGGGAGGAAGGGGGTATAGAAGCATTATACCGTCATTGACCCTAGCCTTAACACGATTACAAAACGTACATTCCACGTCCATCCGGCCAATTCAAAACATTTTTTGTTATCCATTCAATAAAGTAATGACTAACATCCGGGTAATTGGTGCAGGGAAGTGATCGATCACTTGAGTGGAGCTAAACAAGTAACCTAATAGTAAAATGACGTCATGTATATTTGTTTGTTTGTTATTTGCTCAGCGATACTCCGACTCTTGTTGACCAAATAAATGTCACAGTGTCCTGTCAATATATTTGGTGAAACATTGTACGCATCGTGTATACATTAAACCACTGCGAGCGAGTATTTGTATTGATGTTTTGTAAATAAATCCAGCGAGGGACGGATGTGAAATGTTTGGTTAGGTGGCCCGCAACAATATAATGACGTCATTGCCAAATTGATTTGTGGGATAGGTGCCCATTGATTAACGACGGTTTTACAGGATACGTGCCGGGTGCGTCCATATAATCCCGCTTTTGTCAGCTACCCTACTTTTAGATACTTCCAAAAACTAAATACAGACCGCTGACTATGTGCACACAGAGATTGAGTGAATAAGATTTCAAAATAAGTTGAATTGCAAACTATAATCATATATGTGTTGAAAATAGCTACAATAATGCGCGAGGTCCTTATACTATCATTCCCATCGCTAAACTTTTTACAGTGTAGTTAATATAGGGATGAAAATAACACAAAAAAATATAATCAATTGCATTGGTCTGATATCCATCTCCGTCTGTGAGTGTATGTCACGTGGTTGGTGACGTAATCTTCTATGAGTTTTAGTTTTGAAGTATTTTTATTGGATATTTGTTCGACATCACCTATAGCTTGAAACAAGGAAAGTGTCATATTGTCTGAACCTTACTGAATAAATGTATTTTGTTTCCATGGTTTTAGAGTATCTGAATTATATAAATGCGGTCACATTCAGAGTGTTCTCGCTCAACAATAGTAACCCTTTTCCACACAAAAATGCTTGTCTTGCTCTGTTTTAGCTCCGCTGTCGACTTTGTCGAGCGGTTGAATGATTGCCCGTCTGGCGTCCGTCGTCCTTGTCAACTTTTTACATTTTCAACTTCTTCTTGAAAACTACAATTCTTATTGCTTTGACACTTCGTGTATATGTACCCTGGGCAGACCTCTCTTTTAGATTTGTTCATTTTGTGATAATATCTTTGATTCTCGATTGCTTTATATATAGGTACTGCATGTGGACCGCTCTCAGATTTGTTCATTTCGTGATATCTTTGATTCTCTAATTTTGATGAATATTTTTGTCATTCTTGGTAAAATGTTATATTTTCGACTTCTTGTTGAAAACTGCAAGTCTGATTGCTTTGATATTATTTATATAGGTACTACATGTGGACCACTCTCAGATTTGTTAATTTCGTGATGATATTTTCAATTCTCTAATCTTAATGAATATTTTTTGTCATTATTGGTAAAAAGTGATGTTTTCAACTTCTTGTTGAAAACCGCAAATCTGATTGCTTTGATACTATATATATAGGTACTACATCTGGGCTGCTCTCAGATTTGTTAATTTCGTGATGATATTTTCAATTCTTTAATCTTGATGAATATTTTTGTGATTTTTGGTAAAAGTTATATTTTGGACTTCGTGTTAAAAATCAAAAGTCTTATTGCTTTGATATTATATATATTAGGTACTACATGTGGACCTCTCTCAGAATTGTTCATTTTGTGATGATATCTTCAATTCCCTAATTTTGATGAATATTTTTTTTTTCATTTTTGGTAAAAAGTGATGTTTTCAACTTCTTGTTGAAAACCACAAGTCTGATTGTTTTGATACTATATATATAGGTACTACATGTGGACTGTTCTCAGATTTGTTCATTTCGTGATGATATCTTTGATTCTCTAATTTTGAGGAATATGTTTGTAATTTTTGGTCCGATTGCTTTAATGCTATACATATTGTTCATGTTCTAATATCTTCTGTTTTTTAATTGAAACGTGCATTGCTAACAGCGAAGCTATCTCAGCCGACAGGCTGCATGTTAATGTTACAGTAGATGTACGGGTGTTTTTCACTCGCCATTATGTTTCTTCAATATCATTTTGCCACAGGCTAAACCACATCCCTTCTCTCCAAATACTATCAAATGCTTTTCTATAATTCAAAAATTGCGAAAAATGTTTGTTTAATTTTCTCTTTTACGGACTGTAACCTTAAAAAGGAATATTTGGTCTGTCCATCTTTACGAAAACTTCATTTCACCAATAATAATATTATTTTCTATTGTTTCTACTTTTTACTTCTACTTTCGCTTAATTGGGTTAGCCTTTTCGTAGTCTGAGAGTACATTAAATCAGAGTTGATCAAATACTCAGGTCCCAAACGCTGACTGATGTCGCCAAGTTATACAATTACTACATCAAACAATATACATAGTTACAATTATTGTCTTTGCATGGATACAGCGCCACAGTCGTCCAACCATGCTCATTCGAATAATAAAATGCATGCACACCATAGTATTTTGCTCACGATAATATGATGGCTTATTGACAATATGTTATTATTGTCATCCACCTCTCAATAAAATCGATCTAATGAGTCAAAAAAAAATAAATAAATAAATAAAATAAAATATGATGGCTTTACGCCATAATACATATATGACGAATGCACACCACAAGATGTTTGCCTAGAATAACATGATGGTTGTCAATCTGATTAAAATCTGATGTAGTGTACGGGCTTTAATTATTTTGGCTATAAACTTATTTTAATTTTATTTTTTATTATATTTGTTATTAATGCCCTTTTATTTTATTATTTTACTTTGATTTTGATTTTGTGTTAATTCCGTCCTACCTACATCTGATCCGACGCCTATGTAAGTCCCGTTCAAATCTCGCGTAAGTAACAGCCAATCACAGCCCCCCTTTTACACAGGCTGTCGATTGCTTACTTTTCAGTGTATACGGGCAATCTTTCTGTACATTATATTTTGCCCACTTGAATAAACCATTAATAGAAAATTGCTAGTATATTTTTATTTGCAAAAGAAATTCCACAGCATTTTACAATTTTTGTCATTACATTGAATATTTTGTTCACTTCCAACAAATGTGTACACTTCCAGATACATCTTCGCCAGCCAAGGTTCGTTCATTCAGTCATCGCTTCAATTTTACATCACTGAGCATAATTATCTAGAATGGAAGCAGAAAAATAAGTAAATCGTAATGATTAGAACACTGTATACAGCTATAGTAAACAATGCAAACTGATTTTAAATTGTATAACGGTCACCGGCCCACGGCATCGACGCAGAAAATTGGAGCAAACAAATATTTCCTGATCAATTGCGATGTGTTCCAAATAAAAAAATATTTTATTCCAGTCTAAATCAGCTCAATTACTTTAATAAAGAGTTATTGTATAATGTACAAAATGTTGATACAATTTGATGAATATTTACAGCTTCAATACCGTGGACGATTTTGGCCCGATCGTCAACAAACATCACCCGTCTCCAGGGCAGGTGTTCGGTCGAACCGGTGGAAACAAAATCGTCACTCCCAGAATAACTATGCGAAATAACGATCTAAAGTCGAACCATTCTAGCCACAATATTAACATAAAAATGACTTTCGTTGCATTTGACAATGATAAACTTAATACCGTAAAGCCGTGTTATTCACGGTCGCTAACGTCGGTATAATCCGCCATTTTATTTGAGTGTGTTTGCCACCTGACTCTGCCCGGTGACGTCATCATGTGCGCTATAGAAGGAAGTCTGTGATTCGTTGACTAAAATCGTTGATAGTGGGTCTCGTTGAAATCTCGTTACATAGACATCGGGTCAGATGTAGGTAGGGCGGAATTAAAAAAAATCACAAAATCAAAATCAAAGTAAAATAATGAAATAAAAGGGCATTAATAACAAAAGTAATAAAAAATAAAATTAAAATAAGTTTATAGCCAAAATAATTAAAGCCCGTACACTACATCAGATTTTAATCAGATTGGATGGTTGCACGCTATGCCATGAAAATATACACCAGAACCTGAAGAAAAAAATGTTTGCACACCACAACAAAATGTTTGCACACCACAACAAAATGTTTGCACACCATATCGTGAAAAATGTACACCATATCATGATTTGTGCGCACACTATCAGGAAAAATGGACAGCATGTCATGATAACTGGACATCATAACGTGTTATTAGTGAATATAGGACAGTTATGCCCTTCAATGGACATGCGTTGTATAAGTCGAAATCGGCGCAATCATTGGTCAAGTTGTGTCACGTGACGAATTCAGGCAGCATTGCCAAGCTTTCCGAAGAACGGGGTAGTTTTTGAATGTAGCTACTCTGATATGGACGAATGGGTACCAGATAAACTGTTTTTTAACATATAACAGTCATACTAGGCCACGCATGCATACATCGCCACAAGCACTATTATAATTATCACAATTGCCGTACCCGAAAGTACGGCCACGATGATGGTACGATATCACACCATTGCCACGCACCAATTGAAAAGTGTGTAATTCCGTGTCAGTACTGAATACTGTGAGACCATTTGACGTCATCAGTTTCTAGATAAATCAACCCAATCACCAATCTCCTAAATATTAATATGTCGTCATAGAAACGAATTCCCCGTTACCTAGAAAACATGTACAATGTACTCACAAATGCACAGCACTGAGAATAACTTTCAATTAAATTTAAATTTAATTTCGTTTTTAATGTAATAAATAAACAGTTCGAATGAACAGATCAATGTGTCTGTTCTAATAATATGATATTGATTCCCCGTCCATAATATAAATTAATAATAAACCAAATGACCGACAAAAAACCGCGTTGCGATACTGTGAATTATATCGTACGTAACTTTTTTACCTGAAAGGTGTCTCAACGATTGTGTTTTGCTGAGCAAGAAAAACAAATATTGCTTAAATTCAGTAGTAACAAAACAATTGCAGAATATAAAGATATTTTCAGTTAAGAGAACGGTTTGTGTGTGTATATATATATATGTATACATATATATATATATATATATATATAATCTCCCCACTGCTATTCACTAATGAGGCATTTTTCCTATCGTTGTTGAAATGATGTCTTCCTTAAAGCGCGGTGGTCGTCGCGCAGCGCGTGTTCGAATTTCATGTAAATAAACAATGTATTTTACACGCGTTGTATACGTCGCTATGAGCCCCATATCGAACAGGACGCGGCACGACGACTGCCACCCTTTAATATCCTTTTTACTGTGATTGATTAAACCACGGTTGCCAGAATAACTTATTATATCCTTTATGTGAATTGAAAATAAAATGGGTCCCAGAATCGACCCTTGTGGAACACCGCACTTAATTTTATTTATATTAGGATACTTGTTGCCGATTGAAAATATAACAAAAAACTAATCTTATACATGTAGTGTTAAAGTTTGTGAAGTCAAATTCTGTGATTAATCGTATCGCATGAGTTTTGTAAGTCAATAACATTTCCGAAAGTGAGATTATTTGTATGATATCAAGTAAGTTGGTTCTATAATTAAAGGGCGGCAGTCGTCGTGTCGCGTCCTCCTGTTCTATATGGGACTCATAGCGACGTATACAACGCGTGTAAAATACATTGTTTATTTACATGAAATTCGAAGACGCGTTGCGCGACGACCACCACCCTTTAACATGAATCAAGAACTGTCGACCAATATACCTACGGGTAATGCTATTTTCTTGCAGAGAGCCTCTGAGAGGCAGGCCATAAACAATGAATGGAATAATTGGTCTGGGTGGACCGAGTGTTCACAAACATGTAATATTGGAGCAGCATTTCGAAAGCGGACATGCTTACAAGTCAGGTGAGTCTAAGGCCGAACATGACTAACGCAGATTCTGGCGGCCCTAGTAAGCCCGATCACATGATTAGGCGCTCCTACCCGCCCGATGTTTTCCGGACTACCATCGGGCAAATAAGGCAAGATAATATAATATATATTTGGATGCGCGCGCATCAGGCGATAAAATCAAGAGCCTTCCTTCACGTCCGATCTTGCCCGATTTTCATAACCAAGCATGGCCAAGGTAAACATAAGTGGTAATATATAATACAATTAATACAAACCTACAAGTATATATGACGAGTTACGGAGCTTGAAACAAACAGCGTTGTTGCAATCATGTGAAGATATCCTATTCATTTTTTTTAATTAATTGCGCCCTCTATCGACGAGACGGCGATTCTTTAACGTCAAAATAACGTAAATGACTGAAAGTAATTGCTGTTAAAAGCGACATCTGTAATTTTGTATAGTTTTTCGTCATTTAAATTAGAGTAGTTCTCTAAAAACACAATTTGTTTTGATCGGCGACAACAGATCAAAACAATATATACGCTTTGAATAGTCTTCTCCTCACACAGCTATAGAGGGCGCGAACTACTAGTATGAGGAAAGACGTTTGAATTCTGGTTGTTGGCATTTCTTATTGCTCATACGTGTGTGCAAGTTGTTGTTTGTGTCGACGTGTCCGCATTGGTACTGTATGGTATATGTTTATAAAAGGTATTCTGAAATAAACATGGGATTCTATGTTCTCAGCACGTGCATGCACCTCACGTTGTACGAGTTACTTACATAACATGTGTATTGCCATGGTGATGTTAGGAGCCTTTTATGCATCAAAACATCTTACTAGGTCCGATCCTCCCCGGAAGAAATAAACTTTTCACGGGTTTTTAGATCTCGACTTCAACATTTACTCCAAACCTTGTTTGTGTTATTGCAAACTTGTGTTACCGCAGAATTTAATATTGATTTCTAAACAACATTTACCATTCAGAACCATCCCTTTAAAAGTGGTATGTTTATGATGATATATTATTTATATTTTATAACTTTCAAGTTGATACATCCATAATATAAGAAGTTTCACGGGATTAAAATGGTAGGGCAAAATGTTTCATTATGTCAAATAAAGCCAATGTTATTCAAACAAATTTATTGTATTTTATGATTATAATAATAAAAAAAAAAAAACTAGCAGACCTGCATATCGTGAATTAAGCCCATGCAGAAGGATTTCTCGTGGGGGAGTTCAGAAACCCTTTACATGAATTGGAAACCAGCTTGGGTTATTTTATAGCCCAGTGTGTTGTAGTAGTTATGGGACCACTGTGCATCTACCCTATTTAGGCCCAAGGAAGGGTGTCATGAACATGATGGTAAATTACTACATTTATCTTGGTTAATGGGTCACTCAGAAATCATGACCATCACGTTATTATTTGCAGCGATATTTATTCAGCAGTTGATAGCAAATTGTGTAACGGCCCGGCAAGAGAATATAAAGCCTGCAATACAATGGTAAGTGCAGTTATTAATAGACGAGAAGAGTGTTATGTCGCCCTCAGACGGTTGGAAATATGTATCCTGTCGAATCATATTTTCATTGTTTGTTGTGCATCAGACAGCAACATACCTAAATCGCAAATGGCCGTCGAGATGTCGTTGAAAGCGAGAGCCACGCGACTTGTTTTTCACTCCCAAATTGTGTTTAATTCTCTACCGTCATCACGTCTACTCATCCAAATATCATGGTTACCGTGATTTGGGGTGGGGCAGTAAACGCGATAACGGCAGAGAACAATATTTGTGGACAAAAACTAGTTACGTGGCTCTCTCGCTTTCGACGAGAATTCGACGGCCATTTTCATTTTGTTGTATAATTCCAACATTATATAGCTTCCAAGGATTTTTTTCCGGTCATTGCCACATCGTAAATGCGGTTTCAAGTGACGGCCACGTGATTGACGGTTTACTCGTCTTAAATTATGACGAATGTCTCAATTCAATGACAACAATTGGATTTATTCAAAATACTAGTAATTTCAGTGCAAGAACTGGATAAATAATGACTGTATTTATTTGATTTCCTACAGCCTTGTTCTTCGAGCCACTTTGACGATTTTAGGAGGATGCAGTGTTCGTCATTTGATTCGGATATATTTTATAGACACGTCAGATTCCACTGGAAACCTTACTATACCAGGGATGGTATGTATCAACTCATTAGTAACTAACTTACGACGTCACGATAAATGTGTCATGTGATAAGGAACTCGTATTACGTCATATTATGTTGGTAACATAACACTCCGTAGTCCCGATGACGCCACAACTAACGATTATCCGAATTTTAGACGGCGATAAATCCACACAAACCCACACAAACTAGATAACGAATATTGTCGACACATTCAAACCATAACCAAGATCAAATCACGAAAATATTAACCATTTTTCTGCGATCGCACTACGTGCTCGCACTAGGGGATTATCCGTCAGTTGACAAGCCTCAAAACGAAATATCTACTGAACCTATGAATACATAAAGTTGACACAGTAAATCTCTTTCATTTGATTGGTTTAAAGTTTAGCCTCGTTTTCGGGGACAACTGTGTATGGCCATTTTGAAATAGATGGTTGCAGACTATGAAGTTGTAAGTTTAGTTTTTTTACACGCATTCAGCCTGCATGTGCTGTGTGTCGTGCAAGAAAAGGCCGTCTCGGTGTTTGTATACAATACAGGTGCGATATTTGATATAAACCGCCATTTTCATAATGACATTGGCAAATAATTATTATTTTAACAGTACATCGTCGAAATTTTTACTTGCGCTGGACCCTTGCTGCAGTTTAGCAGCTCTTATTGGCCGCTTAAGCTATTTTGATATTACGTGTCGCTCGCAACGTATACCACGACCAAAAGAGCTGCATAAACTGCAGCAAGCTGGACCCCTGCGATGGCAGTCTGAAGATTATGCAGGCTCCCACAGTCAGCTGGCATTGGTGTCGCTGGGTGTATATGATAGAGAGAAGTTGTGCAACCAAATTTGCCGAGTTCGCAGTTTTTCGCCCATAACAAAATAACTAAGGCAAAAACTCACAGTTTTTCAGCATTTTTGTAATAAAGACATTATTCTCTATCAATAATCCGCCCAAAACAGGAACAGTTCTACTAATTCTTGTGTTTTTTCGACGTTTTTCGAAAAACCTGCGATTAGGCTGAGAAAGTTATAAGCTGAAGTCGTTATAAACGTTATATAATTTATAAATTCAACGTGAAATAGTAATTCTAGCTGTTTGTTTTATTTTCAAGATGCAAGTATAAATCCCTGTGAATTGATATGCTATGCTGAAGAGGATCCTG